AAAAAGTGAGACCACATCGAAGGAAATTAGTTTTTCATCGTCACAAATGTAAGTGTTGTTTGTCCTGTGCTTGAAATCCAGCGTATTCTTGATATTATATACTGAGTTTACCGTTACGTTTTTTAAAATATTTACAATATATTTACATAGACCATATGATGGTGATCCAATTGATGAGCAAATGGGTCTAAGCGGTGTTCCTTCTATGTGTATCTTAGGGAGCCCATAAATTCTTGGAGGTAACGCGGTGGTTGAGGTGAGCTTGTTCCGTTCGGCTTTTGAAATAATTTCCATTTTATAAAGTTTGTCGACTAAAATATTATTTTTATTTTGTAGTCTCGATGTGGGATCCTGTCTTTGTATTCTATACGTAGTTAAGTCACATAATATATATGCCATTTTACTGTTGTAGTCATTTATTTCCATTGCTACTGTTTTGTTTCCTTTGTCAGATGTTAAAATTCGAATGTTGTCATTTTTCCTCAGAAATTTCCGCGTCCGTTCCACTGTGTCTATAATTGCACACTCTATTGTACTTTGCTTATTTGTTGTTTTGTGGTCTTTTATTAAGAATGATAATTTGGTACGCGCCTCTTCTTGTTGCTCTTTTTCCTTAAGAGTTTGTATCAGATCTTCTCCATCCGCGATGTACTGAAAAAGAGGGAATCTTTTGTTCTCAATTGGTAACCCGAACTTTGGACCTTGCGACAGCAATGATTTCACGTCCGGCGGGAACTCTTCTTTCGTTTTATTTACAAACCAATCTTCATGCTTGTTGTTGTCGACAAAGATATTATTTCGTTTGTTCCGCAATTTCTCAAATTTAAATTCTTGTCGCTTTTTCAGTGTTGTTGTAAGCTTATCTGCGACATTTGGCTCACTCTCCATGAGTTCTTTTAAGTCATCTGCGCTCAGCTGTTTCTTTAATTTTGTTGCTATTTCCATACCACCTTCCATGTCCACCTTCTGTTTTTGTTTACTTAATGTGTTATGTTTATGTTTGATCAGTAGACTTAATATTTTTATGTGGTAGTAATGTGTATGTCTGGCTAAAGTTCTGTCTATTTCAGGATGTGTGTCACAGTCAAATACCAATAATTTCTTACATCTAGTAGAATTCTTTATAAAGTTAGGAATTAATTTTGATTTTCTGCATTTTAAAAGAAATTTGATGCTAGACTTAAGTTTTACCAGCTTTTTGGATGCAGATTGATATTTGTTTCTTACTGCTTTAGAGTTGTCATAATTGTTCTTTATTTTCGCATATCCCATTTTTGTTGTTGTATGCTTACGGCGTGCCTTCCGGCTTTGTATACTGATGATTTTAGCGACCTTTCTACTTATAATTTAGTGTTTCGCCGGCTCGAGGTCAATTTTAAAAAATTCTTTTATGAAAACACAAGT